CAGAAAAAGAAAAGAACTTGGGAAGAAGGCAAGAGAGCAACAATTTTTCTGAGAGGCGCTCTTGCTGAAGGTGAACCTAAGTTGGGCTGAAAAGCTGGGCATGGATTCCGCACATGTCTAGCAGACGGGCAGCGTTGAAACCCGTCCAACCGTCACATCATCATGGTCTATCGCCCCGCTGTGGCTTCCTGCAGGTAAGTGAAGCGGTTTCTGCAATGTCAAGATTGGCCACAACATTTCTGGGCCCTCTGAAAATAGCTCCTTGACACATCGTGCATGCACAGGTTGCCTGTTCTCTGCTTTTAACACACTTTGCTTTTGACAACTGATGTTTGCGGCCACGTACGTCTCGTACGCTTCTAATACGCTTCTGGCTCTCCGTACTGATTGTGATAATCTTCTTGTCTGAATCTCCCAACCATTTGTAAAAACACTTATCATTCAGACTGCACCCTTCTCAGTTTCGCTTTAGTAAACCAGCGTATTGCCAAAAGAGACACTACTCTCCCTTGCACTGTTAGAAGATGCAATCTCGTGAAACACTGTCTGGATTCTTTCCACGCCTTCAACATACTTTCTCATAGACTAGCTTTTATTCTGCAAAGTCTCATAATTCTCGGTAAACAATGCTCGGGTACGACTGCAATCTCCTATTCTTTCAAAGCCCCAGCACACCGAGCTCCATGCTGTCAGCTATGCTGCTTGCCAGTCACACGTCATTCGTTCTATGTCCAGTCGTTCCGACTACTCTTTTCCCTTTCATTTTAAAAATCAGTCTGCATACTGCAGGTATTCTATGACACAAGACCCTGTGTCGCTAAAGATCGTGGATGGGCGCACTACTATCGTGAAGTCTGAAGAGCCGATCGTTAAGCAGGAGGAAGTGCCCACTGCTTTCGACGACTTGAAGCCGGGAGGGGTAAGAGACAACGCTTTCTTCTGGTTTCCTGCGGCACTTCTTTGTAACAAGAATTGCCCCCACGCCGCAAGGTGTACGCAAGATTGTCTGGTAACTGTGCACACTCTGGCGATCAGCACCGTGTTACTAATAAGCTCGTTGAGACCTTCCAGCGCTTTTCAATCATCTACTTCGTTCTCGCGTCCTCAGCGGACTTGCGTAGCTCTACCTTTCTACGGCACCTTGCAAACACTGATCTCCCGTTGGTACGCTGGGGAAGTTGTCTTTGTCCACCTGTCCAGCATACTTACACAGCTCTTTCTCTATTTGCCAAATTTACGAACACTGACCTCTCGTTGAACCGCTGAAGAAGTCTTCATTGCATACCTGCTCTGTGAAACCGTTTGTTGCTGAGACTCATAACTCCGCGTCGACCCCCCTGGAAGCGTTAAGTCAACGTAGTCAGCAGAATTGGTGAGTAGCCAAGAAAATCATCATACACTGCACATCACAGAAAAACAAGCTCAAACTTCTTCACTTTTTTGCCTTTTCAGGTACACGTGATTGAAGGTCTTCTGATCTTCAAGTCACTGCTCGGCAAACCGACTACTTCCAGAGGCGAGCGGGATGTCATCAAGCTCGTCATCAAGGATCCATGGGCGGCGTAGCTATCTGGGGAGACGTCGCGCATCTTTTGGAGCTGCAGGACATGAAGGCCAGACGGGATGTGGTCGTGATAACCGCAGTGCAGTTCGACCGCGAGCAGGGCTGCAGCAGCACAAGAAAGTGAGAAAATTTTCCCGAGAAGCCACTGTCCACGACTTGCGAGCTGTCGTCTTCGAACAACATGCAACGGTTTGCCATTTATGCAAATCACGCTGACATTGCTGACATTCGGTTACGATCACTCGCTGACTTATCTTGACCTAACTAGCTATTTGAGATCTAACCTCCTACAGTGACTGCGTTCTTGATAAGACTACTGCACAGCTTCTGCCTGCACGACCGCGGCACAGGACGTTTATGGAATTCGATTAAAGGACCGTTTCATCTCTCTCATCCCGCAAAATATTGGATCGTATTGCTTGTCAATAAAGTCATCACCACTGTTTGACTTTCTTCTGTTTGCGCTCGCAGTACGCAGATAGTTCTGACCAACAAGCCGGCACTCGAGATCGCCGGAATCGGGCTGTCGTACCGGGTAGCGACGACTGATGACGTCACTCCCTGGAGCCGCGTCACCCAGTCGTTCGCCGGCACAAAGTGGATTAGCGCTACGATCTTGGCGACGTTCGCCGGCTTCCAGCGCATCGATTCTGTCGCATTCGGCTGCTACAAGTGCGGCGGTTCAGCGAGCCGTCACCCACTGACGGGCGACATCTACTGCGACCTCGGCTGTACCCCTGAAGCACTCAGCAACTTCTGTGTCGAAGTCACTGCAACGGTCGACGTGCGCGTCGACGCTGGACGTAAGTGACAAGATTTTGCATTCTGTACGATTTGACGTTAATAAGTCTGCGTGCGCAGACTTCGCTGTAAAGTGGTCGGGCTCTGACATTGCTGCTGTAATGATTGCACCCAGCAAGAGTCTCTCAATTGTTGAATTCCGGGCCTGCAACCGCTTAATACTATGGCCCCTTACAAACGTAGCTCGTTGCTGCAGGTTTTGCCAATCGTGAGCTTTGTTGTTGCCTATGCTGACGTCATAAGACGCTGTCTGACGTCACTGACTCAATCGTCTTTCCTGTGAGAGCTACAAGAATCTCTGTTTCGCGGACTTATCTTACTTCGACAGATCTTATGCAAGAGCTGCAAGCGATCTTCTCCCTAATACATCGACTTCAGCGTTATCAACCCAATGCGAGATGATCAATTCCTCTTCTTTCTTTGTGTGCAGCTGACGTCATCACGGCAAAAGTGTGGCCCAACGAGTTCCCGCTAGTGACTGGAGCACACATGGAGAGTTTCTCGAAGCAGCCAGCGCACGAGCAAGTGGACAGCCTCAACACACGCTTCAAGAACCACACTTTCGCGATGCACGTGCGCATTCGCGAAAATCCCAACACCCAGTATAGCCACGTCAACCCGTACCAAGCTAACATAGTGAGCTTAGACCTGCCGCCGGAGTTCGGCTTCTTCGGGACTAAGAGAGGGAAGCGCGATGACAAGTAGATCACCGAGACATATGCAGCATCAGCGGGACCTTCTAGCTAGCTATCAAAAAGTTCGGTACGTAGATATGCAGAACACCTCCACATACCGGTAAAGAATGTAGGCAAGTCGTAAAAGAACAACGAGTCTGTGAATCAGACGGAGCAGGCTATCGCTCCTTAATGTACAAAAGATTGCACCTTTGTCGTCTATCCAAGATGCACGTACATGATGATACGAGTTCGTTCAAATGTGCGCCATGCTGCATGCTGGAAAATGCGCTTTGCAATATCTGGATTCTTGCAATAAGTTGCTCGCAGTCTGAACAATCGTAGAAGTCCACATCCGTTACACATTTATGTGTATTGCACACAAGCGCACTGTCCTACGATTTTCTTGGAAGCTTCTCCTATGAATTAACCTACTCATCTTCATTCTTCTATGAATCAAGCGTTCTTGTGCCCACCACTCTCTGCAGATGGACCTGCATAGACAAGATGAAACAATTCATTTCGCCTTCTCAGCAATCAAGTTTCCAACTACACAGTCACGTCTACTACAGCATCGCTTGTGGCGAAGTCTTAAAAGTGCGCACACAATTGCGATGCCCTTAACTGCTTCAGATGAAAAGCTATTCTGCACTATCACATGAAATACAGCAAGCTGGGAATTTCGGTTCCGTGTAAGATTTCGCCAGCCTGCAGCCCGGAACTCACAACATAGGCATTTCTTCTGCACCTACGAGCATTCAAGAAATGCAGTATCAACCTCAGAAAACTCTATCCGAGTCAAGGCCGCTCACCGGATGGTATAACGAGTACAGTATGGCGCGGAGGGCCCAGCACGCTGCTGGCGCTCGGTACGTGCGGCAGAGCTGGCGGTGTGACGAGCATGTCGCCGGGTTCAAGTCCTGCAGCGCGCGCGCGTTCTGCTGCACAAGCGCGGCCGCAGAAACACGTCTCAAGCAGACAGCAGTATGATTTGTCTTGAGCGGGCAGTACGCTAGCCTTCACAGATTCCAACGAACTTGCCAATTGAGCACAGCTTTGATCGTATCAGCATAGCAGTTCTGTCAATGCGTATCGTACCTGCCCTTTCTTGTCGCTTAGCAGTCTGCATATCATCCCGCACATCGAACGTTACGATCCCGTCATCCCCCACTTGAGTGTGCTGCTGGATGCGCCTAACCTGCAGCGAGTAAGCTTATCACTGGCATTGATTTCGAAGGAAGACTTGCATGCGAAATTCTCAGCTTACTGTATCAATCCAAAGACATCTCCTAAGTACTACCGACATTGGATCTGCAACACTTTTATCTCCTCAACGTACAATAAGACAGCAGAGAATAGACAGCACAAATCTTATACTGACGTGGAAGGTTTCTTGGTAATGCACATCCTCATCCGCTTGAGTCTGCAGAGCGCTAGGAATGTCGCCTGCATTCAGCTCGTCCGCTACAATCTTGTACCCGACAGGCAGCCCGTGATGCGAATGCTCTGCCTTCTCGCACTCTTTGATAATCTGCAGCTTGTTCTTGTGTTTGCCGTCGGGACACACGATGTAGGTGAGATGCTTGGACATGCCGTGATCGGGCTTTTCCCATTCCTGCATCCAACCACAGAGCTCTTTAAAATCCAAGTGGACTATTTCTACTGCATTCTTGGTACATGTCTGCGAAACAAATCTACCAAAGAGCTGCCGAAAGCTGTCTTCTAAACACTGCATTTACAACTTCAGTGAGGATACGTAGGATTACCTTGTCCCTAGCGAAGATGACCCGGAAATGTGTCACGTGCAGAAACCTGTCTCCTCTATAAAAGATTTCTTCGAACGACACTGCCTTGCTGTAACGGCATGACTGCGCACCGACTTCTGGCTGCGCGCCAAACTCGCGGCCGCGCATCGTCCGTTATT